AAGGTGAGAATTTAGCAATGCTGACACGCAATTTTTTGTGATGTTATCAACTATGTTTAGTGTTACAAGGTTTGTTATTGCGTTGTCGCTGTCGTCCATATTTTCAACTGCTTTCAGATGGTTATGATTATTTTTGCCTAATTAAGGTTTACTCTCATTACAAAAAATTTTCAATCATTTTCATTTCGACCATTTCAACCCGGTGTTATTTAACTCCTCATTGGGATCATCATCAACATTATTATTATTATTATTATTATTACTATTATTGTTACTACTACTACTACTATAATTGTTGTTATTAATGTTGTTCAGATTGGATCGGGTGAGGTGTGTGAATGGAAGGATCGAGGGGGTTCCAGGCAGGGACCACCCAACGGAGCTGCAAAAGCCCTTTACCATCAATAATGAGTCATGCTTTGTTTACATTCATTTGTAACCCATTATATATGATTATTGATCATGCTGAAGTTTGGCAATTTTGAAGTTTTCAACAACGAAATAAATTGAAAATCAGTTGCGAGTCTCGTTTTCCTGTACATACTCAAATGACAATCCTTGAAGTGAAGATCAAAATTTATAAAAATTAATTTCTTACGACGTTCAATGTTTAATCAACATTTGTCTACTGTAACGGTTTGAAACGTTGCTCGTTTGTTAACAGCATGAGGAAGGGACTGGGAGATGTCAGCATAACGACATCAGATGGCGCGGAGGTTTCCTGCCACAAGTGCGTCCTTGTCGCCAGGATGGAGTACTTCAGGAGCATGTTTGCTAGTCACTGGATGGAGGTTGGCTTTCTTTTTCTATTGCCATTTATTCATATCTGCATTTTTCATTTTAAATCATTTTGAGATTTATTTGTTGTTCTTCTTCATATTTAACAGCATTTGTTTGCCAAATTAAGAAAAAATTATTTCCTTTTTCCATGTGGAAAAATAGAAGTCCAGATATTATGAATAATGTTTATTGCACTGAACGTGGGGAAAGAGAAATACTATGGGGAAAATATTTAAATCATATCGTAGTAGTTACAATCCTTCAGAAATTGTATGACATTGATAATATTATTGTTATTCTTAAAATTCTCTGAAAGCTATTTACATATTAAATGTTTATGTCTATGTGTAATTGGGTTCTCGCAAGTTATAATATGTTGGATTGTTAATTTGTGTCTGCAATATTGACATAATGTTTGATCTGAATTATTTAATATATATCCATGTGTTAATTTTGTGTGGCCAATCATTAGTCTGTTTATTTTAGAGGATACCAATCGGGTGTTAAATATTCTGCATCTTTTTTGTTCGATCAATGGCTTTATTTGCCTTAATTGTGTGTGCAATCATTCCATTCATTTTGCCATAATGTGTATATATATTTATTTATTATTGATTTAATGTCTGATTAAATCATTGCTGTATTTAGTATGGGTTCATTGTAGACTGTTAAAGCTAATTGATCGGCCTTTTCATTACCAAGAATACCTATGAATTTTAATTTTTATTGTATTAACAAGGCTATTGTTACTTGTATATTGTTTTAGTGATTGTACACCTGATAAAGAATCAGTCAATATTATAAATGATTTGTTAATTTCATCTTTCATGTAATCTAACGCTTTATTGATTGTCTGAAGCTCGGCAGTGAAAATATTTGTCCTGCCCTGGACACCACTCAGACTGAAATTTATTCTCCAAGGTCTGCATGGGATGCTGTTTTTTTCTCATCATCATCATCATCATTGACTTCACAATGGTCATTGGTCATCATCAACTTCACTGTCGGTTCACATTGGTCATCATCACCGTTTTTTTTATTATTATTGTTGATGTTGTTTTTGCTCCTTTTTGAGACTGAATATAAACAATTGAACAGCGAAAAAGTCCTTCTACATATACTGCCTTATCTTGTCCCTCCTGAACTTGTGCCAAGAAATTAGTGGCGTCTTCTTGTTAAATAATTTCATTGCAGGAATGTGGTAGGAAGATGTTACGAGAAATAATTTCATTATTTTAAATTCAATTGTTTGTTTGCTCGTTACATTTCAACTGCTGTTATTTAAGTTATTTGTTGATTTTTCATATAGGGTTTAGAAACAGTTAGTTATTTAGACAATTAATTATTAAATAGCGGATATAGAACACTTATAGAGCGGATATAGATCCCTGTGGGGTATGTGACAGGAGAGTGAAGGCTAACTCGGTATTGTTTATAGGATGTCAGAAATGGGTGCATAAGAGATGTAGTGGTGTGAGGGGGGCACTGAAAAAGGTGGAAGGCACGTTCAAATGTAAGAAATGTGTTCATGGTGTGATTAATAGGACGGACGCAAGGACGGGGTTGAGTGGTGGTATTGAAAGAGTGGAAAGCTTTGTTTACTTAGGGGATAAGCTGAACGCGGATGGAGGATGTTTGAGCGCAGTTACGGCTAGAGTTCGTGTGGGATGGATGAAATTTATGGAACTGGGTGGGGTATTTTGTGGAAAGAAATGGTCAGTGAAGATGAAAGGGAGGGTATATAAAGCATGTGTGAAAGCAGCGATGGTATATGGTGGTGAAACTTGGGTGTTGAGGAGAGAGGAAAAAAGTGTACTGCAGAGGGCTAAAAGAGCTATGGTGAGGATGATGTGTGGGGTTAAAGTGAAGGATAGGAGGAGTAGTACAGAGCTGATGTCAATGATGGGACTGAATGAGGACATTGTGACGTTGATAAGGAGATCGAGATTGCGGTGGTATGGACATGTGTTGAGAAGGGATGAAAGGGTCGGGATTAGGCGAGCGTTGGAGTTCGAGGTTAAAGGAGTGGTAGGAAGGGGTCGTCCGAGA